AAAAAAAAAAAAAAAAAAATATATATATATATATATATATATGTATACATTTCCACTCCAACCCCTCTCTTGCTATTGCAAAATTACAACCACTTAGGCAATATAGGATAGAGTACCCTTCAGATTTGTAGGCATGTGAGAGAACCTTTGCTCTTAATAAACCTGTCTCCTAAATTCCCCTTTCCTCCCAACTAAGGAGTTCAAATTTTTCAACAAGTATTCCTTGTATGTGGGTCATTATGAAAGTTCTGAAATACACAAAAATCAAGCAACATAAAATCCATGCAGATATAAACAAATGAAGACCTCCCACCAACCCTGAGAAGTCAAGCAAATTGAAACTTGCACAAGTGAAATCAGAAAGGATGCTCCTGTGTTTCTTGTCAGTGAAATAATGGACCATAATACAGTCTGTCTCCAAACTTACATAGTGACCTCTATATAGTCTAATTCTATTAAAAGGTTTTTCTTCCCTTCTTAATAATTTAAGAGGTATTATTATACTTAAATGAATTTTATCTTTGGAAATGATTTTCAAAGCTCTATTTACTGACTTCAAATTGACAATAGTGTTTGTTGAGCCTCAAGTTTTTTATACCCCTCCATCCTTTATAAGAGCTTAGAAAACATTTTTTAAAAGTTAGAACAGAAAGATGAACAATCTTCCAAAATAATACAACTATTCTACTGCATCATATGCATTTTTAACATGTGCACCTATAACATGTGTCTACTGCATTCAAGTTTAAAAAGCACTTTCATATGAATTACCTCATTTGATTTTCACAACCCATTGAAGGTAGGGTAAATATCTCCATTTTTAAAATAAAAACAATAATGTGAGAGGTTAAGTTTTTGGCTTACTCTCACAGAGCTTAGCCACTGGGACTCAGACCTTTATACACTATATATCAGTGATTTTCCACCAGTGCACTGGGTTTGCTTTGAGAAGATCTTAGGCGTGCCAAGAAAATTTTTAAAGATCATTAAATTATTTCTGAAAAAGTTCAAAGCACAGAAAGTATATTCCTTTTTTAACTTTTTTTTTGATCAACATATTTTATTTATTTATTTTTTTTGGAGACAGAGTTTTATTATGTCACCCTCAATAGAGTGCCATGGCATCATAGCTCACAGCAACCCCAAACTCTCTCTTGCCTCAGTCTCCCAAGCAGCCGAGACTACAGGTGCCTGCCACAATGCCCGGCTATTTTTGTTATTGTTGTTGTTACAGTTGTCATTGTTATTTTAGCAGGCCCAAGCTGGGTTCAAGCCCAGCTGCCTTGGTGTACGTGGCCAGCACCCTAACCACTGAGCTATGTTGAGCCTGATCAACATAATTTAAGTGTGCCGTGGAACTTCAACTACAGGGTTTAAGTGTGCCGTAAAAGGTTGAAAAACACTGCTCTATACTAAAATGCAACACTGTATAAACTATTAAGTATCATGCAGACACCACCTCAGAAAAACAGTGATTTTAATAAATTATCTTAGGATAAATCTATCTTAATAGAATTCAAAAAACAATACCTACCATAAAAAAAGTTACTTTTTCCAGATCCATTTCTGCCCACTACAAAATTTCAAGAAGTACAAGTTATTTTATATAAAAACCAATAGAAATAAACATTTTAAATCCCATTTTCTAATACATCATACTATTTGAAATTAAATGCAACAGAATATTGAACCAATAACAAAAAGCTTTAATCACTATGTGATTAGAATAGGCGTTGTATAGTTTTTTCTTTAAAGGTATTTAATTATTAATTCTTTTGCTCTTTCCCAATAGTTTAATTTTAACTAAAAGGAATAAAAAAAAAAACTGATCATAATTTGTTATCATTACAATGGATGTATAATCCCACTTTAATTATATACGCTATTTTTTATTAATTTCAAGATTCATATACTGCTAATATTCTAAAATATTTAATTATCTTAAATTCTCAAACTGTCCTCATGTTAAACTGTTTATTATCAACCCTATCTATCATATATAGTCTCACAGAACTACATAAGCATGGATAATTGTAAGGTACTTTCTTTACTATCTAAATTTAGATATAAGAAATTCTATACATAAGTAGATATCAAATGCTTTGATTTATTTGTTGAGTGAAATTTTCAGTGTTAAGAGTGATAAATAATTGTATCAATCTCTCAATCTTGGCTTGGCGCCTGTGGCTCAAGCAGCTAAGGCGCCAGCCACATACACCTAAGGTGGGGGGTTCGAATCCCCAGCC